TTTTGTAGATCGTTAAAAATATGTAAAAATTATTTTTAAATGAATTATAGAAAGAATATTGATATGTTCACATAAGGTTTACTGAACTGAATAAATCTAATTTAATCAACAATTTTTTGACACATAAAAATCGTAATGGTTTGAAATGTTTCCCATTAATGTATTATAACTTTTAATGCATTTAAGATCTAAAAAAATTTGTTAATCAAAATTATTCAGTTTGGTTACAATACCTATATCTTTAATTTGAGATATCACATTACATGCATATGTAAAAACAGAGACGAGTTCAAGATTCCATAAAAGAAAACAATTTATTTTCTTCTTTTTTATAGATATATTCAATGACAATAAGGTTATCAGCTATGTTTGAAGAACATATGCGGAAAATTATTTCGAATTGGAAATCTGCCAGAAGACGCAATAATAATAGATCGAATGCAAAAGGAAAAGGAAAAACGGGTAAAGTTCGGTTACCAAATGGTACAGGTATGTGTTCTCTTATAAAAATATTCAATAAAGTGAATTATGATAAAATTCTTCTTCTAATAATAATAATAATATTTAAATTATTTGAAGTATAATTTGAACATAGAAAAAATCATTTTCATTTTAAGGGCCTCCAAAATCAAAAACCGCTTGTATAGTCGATGACGACGATGACGACGATGCAAATAGTGATGACGAAGACGCAGAGGAAATAAGAAAAAAGAATACTTCAAACGTATTTGAACCAGGTGACTATTTTCTTATTTAATTATGTAATCATTTATTTATCCTCTGTATAACTACAATTTAATAATATTGTATGTACCTTTTCAGGACCATCACGTATGACGAATGGCCATACCAAAAGATCTGGCAATTCATCACGAATGTTAAAATTAAGAATTTCTAGGTCTACTGTATCTAAAAAAACAACAAAAGAAAGTGAAAGTGAAGCTAGTGAATCGGATGCTTCCATAGATAGTGAAAGTAGTGGTAGTGTGCCAGTAAGAAGGACACGAGCAAGAACGGCAGTACCTAGTGCAAGTACTGATAGTGATTCTGGAGATGTATATACACCCAGTAGTCGTGAGAAGCAAACTCGAAAGAATCGCACCAAAAATAGCAAAACCAATAAACAAGGAAAATCTAAGTTAAAATCATTTGCTGCTGCAGCTACTACCAATGATGATGACGACGACGACGACGAAGATGAGGAAGACGAACAATTAGCTGCGCCTGAATCATCGGACGAAGAAAGTGAAGAGGAAGTTATCAACAGAAGCAGCACGAGATCACGCAAACTTGCATCTGCTTCTGAACACAAGGATAATATAACGAAAAATGGAAAGAAAGATGAAAGTCAGAGTGAAGAAGATGAAGATGACGATGAGGAAGAGGAAGAAGAAGAAGAACAACAACAACAACAACAATCTCAACATAATCAAGATTCGGACAGCGAGGACTCGGATACAATTTTTACGCCGTCAAGGCCACAGAGAAAAGTTCGTGTATTCAGAGAAACGCATGTACATGAGATCATACTAAATTCAAGGAGAACTGCAAAACGTCCTCGTTACAATGAAGAAAGTGACGAAAGCAATACAATGCCTGTTAGGAACCGACGTAAAATTAAGCGTCAGTCTTATGCGGAAAATAGTGACGAGAGTTTACCAGAACCTGAAAACGTACCAGGCATTAGTATAAGTAGTAGAGGACGTGTACGGAAAATGACAGAAAGAGCACTGGCGTTTCTTGAATTGACTCGAGAATCACCCTAACAGCATCTTTTATGCTAGTAATAAAAGTGTAAGTTATTGATCGTTTGAAAAATGACTCTTGCGATCAGTTAGGAATAGTGTAAAAATTTTAGATGTTATTTGATAATGTTTGTTCTTTGAAACATGCGGCTGTATCCATATTAGTAGCATTACACGAAGTCTGTGTATGCTAGGATATTATTTGCCTGAAAATCTTTGCATAAGATTATTATCATAGACTGTACGTACGAACACTTGAGATTGTCATAGCAATTCATGATAAACACTGCTACAAAGTACTTCCATTATTATGAAGCACGTTGATAATGTTATTTTTTTATGTTCAAATACACCGTTGAACGAATAATGTGTAGGATAACTTGGTAGCAAGCGGAAACAGTGAAACTTTAACGTTATTTTGTTTTCATAATTATTCATATACATCTTTCATAACGATACTGATTCTTCGTATAATGATATACTTACATAATTTTATCATACTCTGAATTCCTGTTGTTTGAAATGCAATGACAGCTACATCGTTACGTATTTCAATGAGTCATTATTTTTGCAAAATGTTCCAAAGTGTTATTAATATATACTGGTTAAAGAAACAGATAGATAAATATTCTTTACAAATTCTGAATTTCTATATGATGATATTAACCAAACTAAATGGTATGTTATAGTGTTTCTATTAGATTGTAAAAAAAGGAGTATGTTATTGTACCTGGAATCACACGAATAATTCGCATATTATTCAGGGAATTGTATGTGTAAGATTAACTTAAATACTTCAACGTTCTGCTTGTTTCAGTAATGTCAATTGACAAATGAAAAATTACTTTCATGCTAATTTCATACTATGGTCTTTAAGAAATGAAAAGAATCAAGGCATTATTTTATAATACATGCAGTCAACATAAGTGAT